AGTCTATCTCGCCTCAAAGCCTGATCTTGATTAATAAAACGGGGCTATACTGACAAAGTCTGGACTGACCATTCCCAGAAGCGAGCGCGTGTCTAGTCAATATACGTGTACATACACTACGCCACAGCGGCATTGATCATTTTCGATTCCTGTGAGCCATTGTCAGAATACATGAAAGCTTAGCAGGAATCGAGATGAAGAAAAAGCCAGTTTCCTTCCCCTTCATTGACCCACGTGTGTGAATATCGTAACTTCTCGGTATGGACCGTCTAGGCGTGTGTAGAAGTGAACTCTCTTGTGTGTTATCTAGCATTTGGAATCATCCTTCATTATGGGTCAAAGGTAGGTGTAACCGTACTATCGCAATATTTATGCATGTATGTCTGTGGAAAACTGCTCGCTTTTAGGGTTTTAGTGATATCCAATGCCAAAAACAAGTAGAGAATAGAATACAATTTATATATAAACATGTACAAAGAAGACTCGTAACTGTTAAGATATCAAACAAAATAGTGTTTATATATCATTTAGATATAAATTTCATCTTGGCACAAATTCGTCCGTATGTAACCTAAAAGACGCATTCCATTAGACAATTTATGGTTGTGAAATGACACCAAAAGAAGTTTGTTTTTATTCCAAATCTCTGTTCTTTGCTCTCGACATAAAACATATTGATCCATTTTCTCTTGGTTTTCAAATATAAAAAAATCCCATTCTCACAACAGAAATGAGAGCTTCCTCAAAGCCAAACGGATTGTATTTCTCCATAATTGAAGAGGAAGGGGCGTTCTCTAAGCTCTGGAAATTACACACGATACAAAAGAATGTGTAGTGTTTTTGTGTCTAAAAGATAGTTTTGGCTGGTAGGAAGTTGGGATATGAAATAACAACGTGGGGGGTTGTTTTGAATGAGAAACATCTTGATATTTTACTGTAAAATACATGTAAATATTAATGATAGGACTCATTATTTTGTGGCTTGAGCAAACATTGCTCGTTTGGGAATTGGAACTCATGGCTGAAGAAGTAATGAGAAGTTAAGTGTTTAACATTTTTTACTTTTCGTGGTAGGCATAAATTCGTGGGTCTCCTCGTACCAATAGATTTACCAAAAACTAACCCCCACCCTCCCATAAAAGTAAGTAGTTTAATTTATAAAATAACCAAAACTAACCCCCAACCTTCCCAAATAGTTAGTAGTTTCATAACAACTCTTTAAATGTTATAGAAGACGACATACATGTAAATAAAACACTCGAAAGGATTACATGTATATACATATTATTTCCATAGCTGCAGAACTGTAGCTCTCTGCTTGAGAAAATTCGGACAGATAAAGCAGAGATCTCTGCTTTATCTGCCCAAATTTTCTCAAGCGGAGAGCTACAGTTCTGTAGCTAGTATTTCCATGCATTATATGTACATGAAATCCATTTAGTCTTCATTTCGTCAAAATATCAAGCTAAATTACATCTCCACCATAAGTAGTGGACTCAATTACTATAATTAATAACTCGAACAGGATCGGACTATCTAAACTGTTGTGTGTAGTATTTTATATGGATATGGTGCAAAAATTTATTTTATAAAGTCTTCTTATGCAAATGTTATAAAAAAGAGAAATGAAAACCAATAATTTCAACGAATAGGTAAAATAGGTAAAAATAAGACTGGTGTCAAAGCGAATGAACTCTCTTGCAAAATAAGTTCTTTCCATATTTATTTTAGAAAACAGTGCCATAGAAAATTTACAACCGTTCGTTCTCGTGATATAAACAAATTTCTCGAGGGACTTAAATTTGGTATGTTGGTTATTAGATTTGTAATCTGTGTTGATAACGTTACTTGCGTTGACAACACACCAATTCATTCGGAACCCCCTTGGGTCCATTAATGAATGGAGATGTTGATCAGATTGTTCTACAATAAATGCCATATCCGCCCTTTGTCACAGCAAATTTCCAGACTTCACGACCACGCTAATCTACTCAATTCCATCCTGACGACTTCTAACTAATGTCGTATGTAAACACACTACTTTTACTGAATCTTAGAGGATAATTTTTTAACCTTATTAACAATATAATGAAACAAAGAATTACTCTTTGTTAAGTTGAATTAAATTTGAATGAAAATAAGAAAATGTCTTATAAACATAGAGTTGATTGAATTGAGATACAATGACAAAGTCTATATTGAAGAATATAGAGTTGATTGCGATATACTCATGAGAAAATGTTCTCTTCATACTGAAGTAAATATAAAAGGCAGTTGGAATTTATTGATTTCTCTCAGATTTTATTTATGAACAAAGCGACATGCAATTACAAAGAGTAATCGATCTAAAAATATAACTTTAAACAATACAAATCCATGAAGAGGACGTGAATCATGGAGCCCTGATAATAGGATGGGATCAGGTGCCTAGGGGGAGTGAGCATCTTCTGTAGACCGCTAACTCTTGGTGTGAGCTTTATATATTGACCAGGTAGACTGAACTTTCTGTATTCTGTGTTGAAACGAAGGAATAGGTATGAAAAAAAGTCAGTCATAATATGATCCAATAATAAGTTATATTTGCTGACAATGTCAATTTTACGACCATAGAATTAAAGAAATGTCGCCTTTAAATGAGGTTCTTGAAATTCCTGTAACGTCGACTTATCTGTCAGTCGCCTGTCCCGGTTTAAAAATCGTTCATATTCGGAGCATACTCTTGAGTTTCGAATATGGGAGATGTAAAGTTAACACCATATGCATGTTATAATGGAATAAAACGACTTGAATAAGGAAAGTTAAACATATCACGTTTTTGTACATTTCAGTTGTTAACTGGTCCTTATTGACTATTTAAAGTTAGTAAAACATCCAAATATGAAACAGCTGATTCTTTGCTGTCTTATGTATCTCATGCTTACTGGGATATATCGAATCGACATATGAAGGAAAGGAACGAAATAGTTCATTGATATCACATCGATACACTGTATAAATAAGTATCGAGTTGAAGGCCTCAGCAAGTATTTTCTTCCTTACAGGAAGGTTTTTTTTAATAAATTCTGCTTCATATAAGTATAAAAACATGTCAGCTAATAAAAGAACGCAACAGTGCCCTTCGAAATTGTAACAGTTTGTTGAGAGACCTGGTCTCGAAGACAATATAAATGTTGTCAATGAGAAATCCAACATAATCTTTCAATATCATCTCTAGAGTATACGTACTAGTATATAAATCAGAGTGGTTCTTATCAAAGGAATTTTTAATACATTTCTAAAACATTTTATCCATTCTGACAAAGTGTTCAGATCTTCTTTTTCATTTTTAGCCCAATAAATGTATTCTCATCTTTGTAGTTTTCCTGTTTTAATCATTGACAAATATTTTTATTTTAAAATTAGATATGGCAAGATTTGTGTACTTTGTGTGCAAGAATTTTCATGCTGAGTCAGGTTTATATCAATCATGAGACCAGATCACTTTCTTATGAATGCTTTTTGACTTGCACAGAAAATTCAGATCACATAAGAATCGTCTATTAAAATAAGGCGACAATTTTTCTTTGTCTGCAAACATTGATACTTATGAAGAGTGGTTTCAAGTGTTCCAACCAATGCTCATTAGCAGCTTAAGTGCATGTATATCTTGAAAAAAATTGTCTCTAATGTGTTCAAGGTCAAAATATTTTTTTTCAATTTACCAATCAGTTGAATTTACTGAAACAAATGCAATGTTTGTTTATTTGACGACCCTCTCGAGATTTTCACTCACATGGAGACGCCACCACTTGCCGATGGAGAGCTACAAATTTTGACCACAAATCGGTTATAAGATTTAAGGGCAATTGAGAGGTAAAGGATATTTTTCGTGCAATCAGGTACTACGACACGGAAATTCTGTTTATACGGTCTCATCCGAAGGACCAGTCTCATCCCACAGTTCAGTGGATTCGAACCCGCGACGCAACTAAATCCGCGACTCTAGAATGAAATATAGAGGAGATAACGAACAGTTTTCAAGATCAAAAAGAATTATAAAGCCTTGTAGAGCTAATAAAAATCAAGACCTGCAAAATATGGCTTATAACAACTAAATCATGGGGAGGGGGGAGGGGGGTTATACCACGTACAGGCATTTCTTGCAGTCCCTTGTCCTTGAAGTCTTTAATTTTGTATAATAGAACATATAATGGCCAAGTTCCTTAGAACCTTAGCTTGTTTCATCTTTATCTATAATAAATTACGTATTTGGGGTTTTGTTTCTATGAATCTTAAACTTTAGAAAATTATTACTATATGCCGTCATGCATTTTGTCATTTACAATGCGTAATATTACTTCCGGTTAATTAATCAAAGAGGTGTGATGTTTGTTTTGATTTAGACAAGATTTCGGATAGCATTATCTTCCAAATCATTGAACAACTTAAATTCTGAATAGATCGCTATAAATATATATACAATGTAAGTATAACTCATCACTATATGTTGTCTCTGCAAGAAAAGTTTTATTACGGTAAACTACTTAGTAAACAGTGCTTGCTTTTGCTGTAGACTTAATTTATGTCTATTTTCTTATATACATGTGCATATTCTTTAATTATTTGTATGCCCAGTGTTGACTCAGGGACCATGACATCGCGAGGATGGTTGGGCACAAGTTGCAGTACTTTGGGTAGCTTGTACACAAAATCTTATCATGAACATTTGGGTTTCAGTTATATACCATAAATCTCTATTCCTTCCTGTATCAGCGTGGTTTTGTTGCTATTTTTATTACTTTCTTTCTTTAGATTTATCAAAACAATGAAATAACATATTTAGTTAGTATTTCCGAGACATCATTTTTGGTTTCGGTATCCAACAGGAATAGGGAAAAGAAACGACCAGCATCATTTAGATGTCCACATCAAATAATCCCCGACTGACCCGAGTCAAAACTATATTGACTGACAATTCCCTTGTAGATAAAATGATAGATCCACCCATGACATTTCAATTAATGAGGATATTCCGGGAAAGAAAAGAGGATTATGGGACTGTGTAGAAACACGAAAGTGTTCTGCATTTTACGTCCCTGATAATTATAGTTTTATGTAAGAGGAATATATTGTGTGGCCCGGAAGGACATCTCGTCATTAACATGGTACTTGAAAAGTACATCCAAGTCAAGAGGGTATATTTCATAACACGATAGCAGGTTAGTCTTGGTCATGTCATTTGATATTTTCTCTTCGTTTCTTTCAGAAATAGAGCGCATGTGGTTCTTTAGATTTGTATAAATGATACTGCGTATGCGCCAGTAACGGAAATGAATTACAGAAATTTTGAGCTGACTATTGAGTGTAAGCCAACAGGATGTATTTCTGGCGACTTGTCTTCAACCTGTTCAATTTGAGTGTTTAAAACAGACCTGTTTACTCTTACGATTTCGCCATATTTTTTACGGATTTTTATTTCATAAAATACGTAATCACGTTTTGCTGTTATGAAAATACGGAAATTGGAAATACGTTCCTTTACTCTCTCTCTCTCTCTTCGCACATTTTTGTTGTTCATTAAAATGATCTCTCTTAGTTTCACGCTTTTTAATTTCTTAAAAGGGGAAAATTTCAAATACGTAAGCGATGTCGGGTTGCCAAAACGCTGTGGTTTTATAAAAGGTCAAAGACCAATAATGTTGTTTAACCTTGTTTTTGTAGTAAAAAGAACATTTTTTCTCAATATTAATACATGAAAAATCGATCAAAAGTGAAATCTTACTGGCAAATGCAAAATCTCACGGACAAATCTGCTAAAAAATACTGAGAGACAGCGAAATGGGTAAACAGGTCTGTTAAAAGTACTAACGAAGCCTTTAGAAGTTTCATGTCATGCATTTTTTGTCGATTTGTTCGGCCATTTTCGATGTAAAAAATGGGCTTGAAATTCAAATAAATACAAAAGACATTTTTAATAAGTGTGTTTCTTACACGCAATGTTTTCCCATTTTTTTTCCTTGACTTTTCTCTCTCTCTCTCTCTCTCTCTCTCTCTCTCTCTCTCTCTCTCTCTCTCTTAAGTGATTAATTTTTGTTGTGATACTTTAAAACGTTGGTGACCTAACCTAGCTTACATGGTCATTTACCCTTGACTTTACATGTATCAGTGCAGGAATGTAACTCATCTTATGCAGTATATTGCTCATATGAACATATATCTGTTGATTTTAATCATAGACCTAAAACGTTTTAGGTTTATGTTTGAATGCAACATTATTTAATCTGAAGGATTGAGAAATTATTTTTTTTTTAATACACGTACATTACCGTATAATACAATAATAGATATTAACCATTTGTATAAACCATTTATTATTTATGGCAAAGACTACTAAGCACAATCTATTTAAAAGTTTGGAAAATACTATCAATTATTTATTTATTCATTTTCTATTGTTAATACATATTTACGGGGTAATATCCATATGCTAGAGACATTTATGATTTTTCTATTGGACAATTGCATGAAACATTTAAAAAGTAATCTTTTTAAGTACATGTACTGCCTTATGTGGTTTCAAAGGATGTAGGTGTGATGTATCAGCGAACCTAGGCTATCCATTGCTCAGTGATTGTCACATTTATCAACAATAAACAACATTGTTGTAATAATATGGTGATTTAATTCAGGCTTTGTTTTGATTTTACTACAAAACAGCTGAACATACATTTCATATTCGTTTAGCCAGCAGCAATGTAAGATTGTCATTCAAAAAAGATGAACAACCAGGATAAAAGCCTCTTCACTATCGGCCATATAACAAACTCCCAATCAAATAATTAAAGGCATAATAACATGAGGAAATCAACAGTCACATGATGTTTTAAAAAATCTTATTACATATTGAAGTTTACCCATGCCTGGAGACTTGTCACTTTTTAGTCGTGTAAGAAATATTTACTACGCCAAGTACGAACTATTTCTTTAGTGAGTTATTTGTAAAATTCTTTTAATACGTAAGACAATTTCATGTTACCCTAGGGTTACATTTAGATCTTACCTAGATTTTGATATGGTGTTTACAATCAGCCAACAACAGTGAAGAATGTGTATCTAATATAATAGAGTCGTGTAGATATTTGTTTTAAATTTTGAATCCACAATCCTTTGTTGTGGCGAGAACACTGTATTAATAGCAAGACTCTTAATTTATTGGATTCACACCTTTTCGATTGATACACACTGTGAATTTAAAGTTGTGATTTTTTTTTTATTTTTACTGAACAATTATGTGATATCATATTATACAATTTATTACTAATTATATTATAATACTTGGTTTAAAAAAAACTATGTCGCGAAAGGCCCTAATCTGGAAAATGCACTATATCTTACAGGTGATATACCCCGACATAAACGCCCTCTTTTTACCTATCTCAGTGGATTCTACTGATTCTACTTTAAAATACTGGGAGTTTAAATGTGCGAAATACATACATAGTAAAGATCTATGAACTCGAGCCTGAAAAAAATCGGTAAGAACCACGTGACACGATCTTTTGCAGGGATTGCGACAGGTACGCTGTGGTGATAATATTGTGTTGTACATACTCGGTATACACGTTCATTCTGTACGCCTTAGATAAAGGGTTGACGCCTTGCTTTCATTGGATATGGATTTATTGTAGGCCAGATTTCTGAACAAGTAAGGTAGGGGCCAAACAGGTGTTATAGTCATGTTCTGGTTTATTTCTAGCTACACGGGTGAATAAATACACGAAGGTCGATTATTAAAATGGCAGTGTTGACCGTCGCCTATAAATATTCTCTTCGTTATGCTATGAAAGGTTAGTTATCTCTATATGTAAATCTAGAGATGGAAATGTTTTGCTTTGTAATTGTATGTAGTTTTTCGTTCATAAGAGGAAATATCTGGGTTGATTTTTTTCCGGGTGGTTTGTTTACATTTCTACTCATAAATCACTGTTAATGGTAGTATTTTGTTGGCTAGTCATTCTCGTTAGGACACAACATCATGGAAGTAGGCTGTTCCAGTTTATTTCTCTAAAGAGAATAATGGTGAGGGGGTTATAGGAAAAACGTAGATATGTGCTTTATTTATACCCTTGTTTGTAAGATTGATCTGCGAGTCCAAAACAGTAACCCCCCCCCCCCCCCAACCCCCTGGTTAGTTATATACCCAGTCAGCATTCACACGGCGTGGATTATTGTTCAGAATCAGAAATACATGTATGTTATTATATCAATTATCTTGATGAAAGATGGAGTTAAAAAATAATATGTAATTTAATAGTGCAGAGAATAAAAATGTTTTATTCAATTATCTAAGTCTAATAATGATTCAAAAGCCTGCCTCTTTAACATGTTTCAGGTTGATATATATTGGGGATGACATGTTATTGTCTAATGAATCTTTAGCTGTTTTTATAAGATTGAAAAGTACCACAAACAAAATATATTTATTTTGTATGTTAAGGTTACTGTAAGAGACTATTTACCATCATACACATTGATGATTATTTTTTTTATTTAGTTCACATTAATAATTTACCTACCATAGTGATTTCTGTGATGAGATGTACATATCGTATCCCACATACACATAATGAACTTTAAAATTGTCCTTAGTGCAGATTACAGATGACTGTATGAATATGAATTTATTCAATTTAACAATTTGTTACATGTGCATATGTTTCAGACACAGCAGTTTTTATTCCCTGCTATTTGTTAATTAAATATTAATTTACCCTTTTCCAATTTGAATATTTATGATAAATGTTAATTTTAATATGTTCTGAAGTGTAAAAGGAGGCTTGAAAAATAAAATTTGATTGCATTTTCCTGTATTTGAGTTTCAATGTTACTAGTTACATATTCCAGCTAAAATCAATACTTAGTACTTGTATATGACACAAGAAACGTCGATATTTAAATTGATTTTTCTGCACTTTACAATTGTTTAATCTATGTGTTGTCTGTTTAGGCATCGGGTGTGGAGTGTGAAGGTGAGCCAGGGGCGCGGAGAGAGAGGATGATCACCGCCTGACCACAATGAGGATCCATCCACGGAAGGTCGTGACCTATGGCCTTTTTACCCTGGTCGTCTTTTTCGTATTCCTGTTTTACAATCAGAATAAGCTGACGAGCGTAGACAATGACCCTCCGTGGAAAGATTCTGATTCTGCCTACAAACGAGCCCTGAAAGTAGATCCACATGGTCGATTTCACAGTCACGTGATTCAAGATCAGAAAAAGACACCCACAACCACCAAAATCATTCGTTCTCTAAGCTCCTTGCTTTGGCCATCTTTGGAATATTATGACGATGACAGAATTTTGGCTCAAATGGCCCATCGTCCAAAGGGTGTGCTTGACAAGGAGAAAAAAGGCGAAAAAGTGAAGGAGAAAGTGATTTTAGTTTACCACGGTTATGGAGCTTGGGGTGTACAACATGGACGTAACCAATTCAAGGAACAGAAATGTCCAGTTCAGCATTGTCACGTGACCGACGATAGACGCCGAATCAATGACGCTGACATCGTCATGTTCCACCACTCACCATCCAGACCCTGGGCGACAAGGCCACCCAACCAAATCTGGCTTTTGTTTTTGTTGGAGTCTCCTTATCACACACCGGGACTGAGCGGTGTGAATGACGTGTTTAACTGGACGGCAACGTATAGACACGATTCCGTGATAGTTGCGCCTTACGAACGTTTTACTCTACACAATGAATCAGTAAGAACGTTACCGCTTAAAAAGAATTATGCTGAAGGTAAAACCAAAAAAGTGGCTTGGTTTGTGTCAAACTGTGGTGCAAGGAATGCTCGTCGTCAGTATGTAGAGGAGTTATCAAAATATATACCTGTGGATATTTACGGTGCTTGTGGACCATTAAGGTGCCCGAGACACAAAGCTAATGATTGTTTTACAATGCTCAGTAAAGACTACAAATTTTATTTATCGTTCGAAAACTCAAACTGCCGAGATTATATAACGGAAAAGTTCTTCGTGAACGGCCTAACGTAAGTATCCAGTCCTGTTTTATTGATTGCTTGATCGTATGTTGTTTAACGTCCCCCTCGACAATTTTCACTCATATGGATACGCCACTTTTTATCGGTAGAGAGCTACAAATATTGTCCTATACTCAGCACTCAAGGTCATTGAGCAGTGAGGGATCTTTTTCGTGCCAGCACCTACTGCGACACGGGACCTCAGTTTATACGGTCTCATCCGGTGTCCACGCCCCACAGTGGGATTCGAACCCGCGACTTAAGGATTGGCTCCTTACTTCTCGACTCTAGAGCAGATTCTCAAATCACTTCAGTCTTGTTTTAACATTTCAAGGTAATAAATTGCATTTTGCAGTTAATGGAGCCTACTTTTTGAATGTACAACCAAAAAACTTTACCTCAAGTAGAATGCATATTGAATTTCGATTAAAGTAGTGTTGAAAAAAATGTATGCAATGAAACCGCTTGAAAATTGTTGTAAAATTAAGTAGAATGATTAAAAGAACACGTACTCAAAAATTGCATGGCAATATGTCAGTAAAAAAATTAGTTTTTGAGTAGAACGTTAGCTCACCGAACATAGAAATTTTCAAATAAATTCAAGTGTAAATCTATTATACAATACATGTATATAAATTGCTAAATGCAAAGATCACAGCAAAGAAATGTATATCTGTCAATGTAATAACTGTAGCGGATGAAAGGAAGTCTGCGTGTAGATTTTCTTGAACAGAACTTCCCATAAACTGTGTATTAAAGAGTTCGGATACGGAACATTCTCATAATGGGCATCAGTTTAGTGATATTGTAACATGTATGGTAAATGGTTACAGCATGCAACAATTTTACACAATTTATTATAGTCTGCAGGATTCGTTTCTCTGCATATAGTATATATCTAAATAGTTTCATATACGTCTTAAAGGTATTATATAATCACGTGGCTAAATTTCTTTAATGGGGCCTCAATAAAATCAAATCGGAAATAAATTGCATTTTGGGACATATTTATGAGAGAAAAGGTCATTTATTCATTCAGAAGCCGCCAGTTTGAGCGTCATTCAGTTGCTATTAAGAAAACTCTTTTCCGGTTCCGGTCATATGAATTTGCGAAACGAAACGTTGCAAAACGAAAAAATAACAAAATGTTTAATTAACACTACACTTAACCTACATACATTGAAAGGTCAAAGCACTTTCACGTAATACACGTATTTAATTACAAGTATATATGTGCATTAAAGCTTGTGCTCTAAGCTAAAAGCAGTATTTCATCCACTTTCAAAATGTCAGTTCTTCCATGTAATATTAATGAGCTGATTGCTAATAAAGTTAAGACACATTTCTTTATTAACCCACTAATAGCGTAGTGCTGGATCTTATCATAATTGAGGAAAATTGTTCTCTGTGTATAACTTGTAACGCTAGAGCAATGTGAATTATTGATGAACCACAAACATAACTACTCTGTTAAGAGACGTGCTACATTCCTCATTTTGACAAATTTCCAAATACAGTTATATTAGAATTCATAATTACCTCCGAACCAAATTGTTTGTACTTTGCAACATTCCATGCACATAGGAAAAATATGCAAATGCCAATGAAAAATTCATCATGATTTGTTGATTTCTTTGATTAAACATAAGTTGGTACCTGCAATGGGATACTTTATTGCCTCTTTGATTGTGTCATTTTTCGAGAAAAAAAGTCTTTTAATCAGTTATTGATTCTACTTAAAATATCATTAAATTTTCTTTCTCTTATGCAGCGGGCTCCAGAGTTTTAATTTCTTTATGCTTATATTAACTTCAGAAACTTTAACCGTAGTTGCAATGACTGTGATATTTCAATTTTTATTCTTACAACCAACAAGAAATTGTTAGACTAATACATGTATCTACGGCCATATCAATTGGCAGTATGTGTGTTTTTTTGTAACTTGATTTAGGACCCAGGACGTAGAATTAAATGGGGTTAGGTTAAAAATGTTACTGTACTCACATCTGTCTTTTCGAGCGATCTATATATTACTTTCTCCATATTTGCAACGTCACAGAATGATCATATGTAATGAGATGTAGTAATTTCGATTCCTATCACATAGTGCTATATTTTGTTTGGAATAATGAAAACAGGTTTTGGACGCTGTAGATGCCTAGATGGTCTGTTTTTCCAGATAAGCGGGCAGCTTGAAGTCTTGCAGGTCTGGACGGAGTTGTTTTCTTAGTGGCCATGTTTGTTCAAACTTGTATTGATGTTTCCGAACTCCACTAAGCTCGATTTTGATTACTTCCAGTAACAGATTCAAACGCGAAGAAACTTTATTAATTGTATATTTGTGCGTTCGCTAATATTTTGTGAACAAAACACACGTTTTTAGAGAATTTTTGTGTAAAACTTATATTAAAACGTGCAAATGGAAAATGAATCTTTGGCTGCATTTAAAACACACTATTTGCCATGCTGGTTTCATTACAGGTAGAAACATGTACCATGTATTATGAACTTATGATAAAAATATACTAACTTTAATAAACGTACACTGTACAATGCTTGGTTTGTTTATCCTTACAACACAAGTGACCCTGGGTCAACTCCTTACCATAGGTCTGAGGGGAGTTGGCTCAGCACCCGAACATAGTAACAAAGCAAAGATGCAGTTTATACATTATACATTACATTATTTATAACAAACAGAAATTTTAGAATACTCTCTTTATACATTGAGCGAACTTGCTTATATATATATATATATGTTGCAACTAGAGTTGATCAAAGATGCCTCAGATGCTGCAAATGACCGTTTACATCACACTGCGGGACAAAGAGACTGGTCATTTTAATAAACCGAGGTCCTGTGTTGAATTAGGTGTTGGCAGCCCTTCACCGACAAGTACCTGCGTCTCAATATGGATAATTCTTTATTCTCCCAGGGAAACCTACTCTGCTAGAAATACTGGCCTTTTCCTAATGATTATGCCATTTACTTATGGAGTCATCCTGTATAAATCTATTTCAAACTGTTCAGAATCTACTTCATCATACATCATCATGTGTAGCTCAGCCATGTATTGTTTTTACATAAAACAGTTGTATTTTGTGATTTTGTCTTTCATCATGATATATAATTTTCAGGAACGATGTTTTACCAATTGTAATGGGTGCAGCCCCAGAGGACTACGAAAGAGCGGCCCCATATCATTCATACATCCACGTGGACGAGTTCGAAACCCCTAAAGATCTCGCCGAATATCTTCATAAACTAGATAAGAATGATTCTTTATACAACGAATACTTCAGATGGAAGGGCACCGGTGGAAATATCAACACGTTCTTCTGGTGTAGAATCTGCTCCATGATTCATGAGGTGGGGGAAAATAATCACCCGGTAGTTTATCACGATCTCGAGCGATGGTGGCGCTTCCCTGGTGTCTGTATCGGCCAGTCGCGCTGGCGGGAAAATATGAAAAGTAGAAAGAAAATCATAATAGACAAGTATTGATACTTTTTGATAAGAGTGCGATTGGATGATGATTCTTTGGTACACAGTGTATTACTATCTTTTAAAGCTCTAGACTACAAATGAGGATGTTTTATCAACCATATATTGTCTGAATATTGATCGATGAGCGTCTGAATGTAAACAGCATTCCATATTGCAAAACGTTTATTTTTCTACGAGTGTTCAAATTGTGATTCTTTTTGAGGGAGCACTGGCACGTGACCGGATGTGATAGTGAAGTGTGCTGTTGGATGTTGTTGATTTTAGCGTCAGAATCTCCGCCGCTCCGTCCATGTATTACATGCCATAAATCATGTGTCTCTCATGATAACATACATAGGCTGGAGAACAAGTATGAACAAATGTATTTTTGATCAAAATTTTGAAGAAATCCCTTTGTCCTCACAATTTTTTTTTTTACATTATATAAACTTACATTAATGATTTTTTTTATTTTCTATTTACATAATACAAGTAAAGAGGGAAGGAGAGAAAAAGACAAATGTTTGTAATGTTAGCAGTTATCAAGAGTTATGTAAAAGTCTGTAAATGTTAATTTGGATTATTCTGCCGTGACCTTTATTCATAGCTTTAATGTCCATCTAAAGAAATCCATTTTTCTTATATTTTTGTACATTTTATTTTCTTTCTTCATAAATCTTGTATTTTATACTCTTAGTCCCGATCCAAAGAGAAGTTCAGAAATGAAGTCGTGCATGAACCTCCAGTTGTTTATATTAAGTGGGTACATATGTATGTGTGTATGTAGATATTATGATTGTGTCTACAGTGTATACGAGTACATACAATGTATATGTATGTGATTCCTGGATAAAAATGAGAGCTGAATACGATACTAATGAATGGGTCATTCAATTGTAGGATCTTTTAAAAGATATTAACATTTAACAAAACAAATATCAATATTCCAGTGATTGCAGTGGAAATTATAGCGTATTTGAGAAAAGATATTATAGGTGAGGTCCAGTCACGATTTATCGTATTCTTTTGTTTTTCCTATATTAAGCATGAACAGGATGTTCTTTGTGACAGATTTAAAACCCAGATAAGCAGCTAAACTGCTGTCACGAATTGTATTCAGTCGATTGTAGTTAAATTTTATATGCAGATATATTGATTTTTACTTAGATTTTTTCCCTTTTTTATGAACAGCTTGTTATCATTATGTCCTGGTTCATTTGAGTGAGGTATCTTTGGACATTCTTTATCAAACAATGTTATATAATACATGTGTCAAATATATTTATTTGATTTTTTTTTTGGGGTGGGGGGGGGGGGGGTATTCATGAGTTCATTGTTCATTGCATTTCAGTTCTATATAAAGCATTTATCATACCGCAACTCAGCAACTTGTCATGTAAATTTTGAATTTACTAGGAGGTAAATGCAAAATTTACAACATTATATACCTATTTTGTATTTACCTCCCCCTAGTAAATTCAAAATTTACAACATGATCAAAAGAGAGATTACTCAAGTTTAATGAGAAAACAAAAAAAATCCATTCCAAAGAATATTATTTTACATTTCTTACATTTTAAATCTATATATCTGGAAACAGTGAATCTTTTCTCATACTTTTTTCTTTAAAAACATGCATGTAATTTTTTCCTGTGATCATTTTCACAGTATGGTATACAGGATATCAAATCATACGTGATAATGGAAAACATCGCTTTTGATGCAAAATGCAACAGTTGTTGGCAGAAGAAATCCTATCATTCATTACCCTTTTTTTATTATTTGAAAAAATAATAATGATGAATTGCAATGTATGTCAATCAGTCAATCTTTTTTACCTCCAACTGTTTGGAGATAGTTTAATGATTTTTTACTATGTTATTTCGTTTCATTGCTAGTTTTTCAGTTGTATGAGTCCTTTGTCATATACAGTCTTGTTTGTTCTCCATACAATGTCTGTCTTATCGGTGAATGAATCATTCCAGTGTGGTTACATTCCATATTTTTTTCACCAAGATTGTATTAAATTTATAGCTGCTGTAAAATAAAATAAATTTATTAAAAACAAATATGCGTTTAATAGCTTGGGTTATAGTTTTTTTAGCTTGCCCAAGACTTCTTCAGATGTTGTCTTTTGGAGGCTAGATGGCCAATTTTTTTGACGTAATATCAACAGTTCTTTGAGTTGGTCAATACTCCATTAAAAAAAAAATGTTTTCCCTCAAAGTGTACGTAAAGAAAATTCCACCATATTTGGTCATTTTCCACGTCTGGGTCGCCCATCTTCTTTAAATTATTTAGAGATAGCTTTTTGATAAGACGTGTAAGACAGGTGGATAATTTGAAAATGCTTTTCTGTAGCATTCCAAGGGAAAAAAAAGCATACTTGATTAATTTGATATCAAAAGACTATCAAAACTTGAATGAACAATAAGGAGTGAAATGTTTTTAAACTACATTTCATTACAAAATTTTATATACACAAAAAGCAGAGTTTAGATACTAAAATCATTTTGATGAAGTTAAAGTTTGCAGCTATGAGGATTAAATGTGAGTTAATATAATTGTGGAAGAAAGAGGACGTTAAATTTAGAGATGGGCTCCCAGGCATGGTCCGTGTGACGCAGACTCCAGTCACGTTTGTTGTTATATTAGATAACCTTGTGCACATCATTTCGTTAGATGTACGACCTTTATTTATTGAGAACTCATGACCTTTTTAAACTGCCTTAAACCAGGCAATTTTATTCAAGTGATCTAAGTCGTAAAATACCGAGTAAACACAAGGGATATTTTTTCGCTGAATGAGGTTAAATTTTTTACAGTAATTATTTTTCATGCACAATAATAGATTTTTAAAACTACTTGTATAGTCTTTATCTGTTTTCCTGAACCGAAGGCTCAAGCGAGCTTTTCGAATCGAAATTTGTTTGTTGCCTATCGCAAACTTTCATTTTCTTGTCTTATTCTCCTTTAACAAAACTTGACACTGTGTATCCTTGAGTGAGGATAATTCAGGTTCGTTCAAATTGAAGAATGAAGACCATACCCTCTTCCAAGGGTAGAATATATAGAAATACATGCGCTGATGTAGAGTTGTATCCCCTGCCCTTAGTCTCCCCCTAAAACACCCTTTTGAAAACACTGATTTGTGTTAAAGGGTCATTGACACAGTTTCAGCTAAATATTATCAAATTTATTTTAAAATTTTTAGCTTATAAATATTTTATTAAAGTATTTTTAATTATGTATAAGTTTTTTGAATTTCTTTTTAAGTACTTCTATGTCCTATATTGATTAGACATGCATGGAAGATGCTATTCTAGTGTGTTTCATTGTACCAGTCAAAGTTTCAGATGCTGCAATTTCAGCAAAGGAATGACCAGATTAATGTTTTTGGAGCACTTTTAACATTTTTGGTACAGTTTTTGGTGTAGGTCTCATTTCCAAGGTTGACCAAACGCCCTATGTTGACCAAACTCGCATGGATGATACTAATAGGCTTGCTTCGGATGCTAAATCTGACCTACATTTTCCAGTTGAGTGAACAGGTTAATGTTTTTGGTGCAGGTCTCATTTCCAAGTAACTATAAGCCCTATGTTGACCAAACTTGCATGGATGATACATCTAAGGATGCATACTACCAAGCTTGCTTCGGATGCTGAATCTGACCTACATTTTCTGGTTGAGTGAACATGTTAATGTTTGGTGCAGGTCTCATTTCCAAGTAACTATAAACCCATGTTGACCAAACTTGCATGAATGATACATCTAAGGATGCACACTACCAGGCTTGCTTCGGATGCTTAATCTGACCTACATTTTCCGGTTGAGTGAACAGGTTAAAGTTTTTGGTGCAGGTTTCATTTCCAAGATACCTTGAGCCCTATAATGACCAAACTTGCATGGATGGTACATCTTAGTATGCATACTGCCAGACTATTTGGATGCTGAATCTAACCTACATTTTCCAGTTGAGTGAACAGGTTAAATTTTTGGTGCAGTTTTCATTTCCAAGTTACAATGAGCCCTATAATGACATGAAAGATTCACCCCACACAAAAAATTTTAACGTTTCAAACTGTAAATGCATAAGAATTTTCCTTTTCATAAACTTGCATGGAAGATACATCTTAGGATGCATACTACCAGGCTTGCTTCGGATGCTGAATCTGACCTACATTTTTTTTGGATGAGTGAACAGGTTAAATTTTTATGAAGGTTTCATTTTTAAGTAACTATTAGCCCTGTGTTGTGCAAACTCGCATGGATGATACATCTTAGGATGCACACTAATGGACTTGCTCCGGATGCTGAATTCGACATACATTTTCCAGATAATGGACCAGGTAAAAGTTATGGGTGCAGGTCTATTACCAAGAAACTATAAGGCTTATATAAGCCAAACTTGCCCAAATGATACATCAAGGGATGAAAACTCTCAAGGTTGCTTCAGATGCTGGATTTTAATCCCATTTTCGTGATGAAGAACTAGTTTGAAGTTTTTATATAGGTCTATTCCAAAGTATCATATCAAAATTGCATAAATTTTGCATTTTTGGATGTACACTCTTTATTGGGTAATTGTGTAACTTTGCCTTTCTTAAAGACGACATTCGTTGAGGTGAGCTCTGTAATCTCTGATTACCTATGTTTTATTATAAATATTTTATTAAAGTATTTTTAATTATTATCAAAAATTTGAATTTCAGTTATCTAAATACAATCTTGACAGATTAAGAGCTCCAAACTTTTGTTAAATGCAACAAAGGCTCGTGCCATGTTTTTGTTTATATTTGTTAAATATAGAAATATATATTCGTTCAAAG